TGCAAGGGGGTTATTGTGAAATTTACATGAATTAAATTGGGAGAAGTGCATGATACCTGTACGGATTCGTATTTCAATATTTCTAGGAACAAATGGAGCCTCAGGTGGTTCACCTTCTAGACCATGATTCGGATTTACAGGTCCCATGTTTGCTCCCCCTGCACTGGATCCCGGATGAAAAGGAACAGCCTACAAAGAGGAAAAAGATTATCTAATAACAGAAAATTAGAAGAAAGATTAAAATAATCAATTTAACTTAGACAACCTGAACCATCAAAGGATTTGGCCCCGTTGCAGAAATGAAGTTTGCAGGTCCAGCATTAACTACGGCTTCAGCCTGCATACATGGATCATTGTTCAAATTACAATAAGGCTTGAGATGCAATGAAGATATCAACCATTCATGATTCGTGGAACTTACTGGGTTTTGACCCATGCGTAATGTCATAGTTGTGCGACCAAGCTCCAGTAACATTGAACCCAGTTTTTGCATAAGTAGTCCTGATCTCATTGCACTGGACTGCATGTTCATCCTTGTCACAGGATCAGTTACCCTTGTGTGGTCCTCCAGTTGTCTAGCAAGCTGCTGTATTCATAATATAACAATGTCAATTGGGCTCTATACATATAATAGCTATCACTAGACCATGTGGAAGATGTTGTATTTGAAAATTTGAAGTTGCGGATAATTATTGTCTTAGAGAAAACAAGTAGAATTTATCAAGTAAGAGCTAGATATATTCAATAGTTTCTGACATGTCCTCCAGTCATTTATAGGATAAGATGTTTAGTTGCCTATATGAATATGTAAGAAGTGATATGTCCAAACAGCCACAAGCTTGCTTCAGCTCTTAGAAACTATAAGAGAAAACTTAAAGGAAAAAAAAGAATATTTTTCAGGAAAACTGAGTGAAAGATAGAGGTGTCCCTATTCCCGTGAGACAAAGCATAACTGCGAGAATAAAGAAAGAAGCAGAAAACAATCTTAGCATTTGTATATATTTCTAAATTCATCTTGAAACAGGAACTAGAACTATAATATGTTAATTAGAGTATGATTAGAGCATGTTGTTTGGGACGCTCCACTGGTGTATATGCATACCTTAAGATGAGAATAATATGCACAACATCTTTCACATTAATCAAACTGTCTTTATCTTTCATTTCAATACTTATTAGTGAATTGGTTATAATAATCGGTTTTCTCTAATACCAGTACAAATAAAAAAATTAAACTATAATACCATGTTAACTTAGAAAAGGAAAAGATGAACCTGGGGCAACCCATTTTAAGGCTGAAAAATACAGACAGTTTAATGGGTGCGCCGAATTGCCTAGAATTAGGATCAGGTTAAGACTACCGTTAAGTGGTACAGTATTAGTTCATTTCTTAGAACATGTGTGATCCTAAGGTGATCCTATGACATGAAATGAAATAAGTAAGTTATCCACTGAACCATTCGTGACAGTACAAAATGAAAAGAAATTAAGTCTGCTAGTATAGTTCCATCTACAGACATGGAAAACCAATCTAGCTTCTGGTGTGAAGATATACAAACTGATCAGTAAAAACATAATTTTATTTCCTAAGAAACTGCAATCGAATTTAGGACAAAGTAACCAGAATATATGCCAAGAACATACCATAATACAGTCTCCTGTCTGATTCATAAGCAGTTGCCTCGCAGAGCATAGCATTTCAGCTAAGGATGCTGGGGTTGGTAAACCAACTTGTGCAGCAGGAGAATGAGAATCATCACTGCGTCCCTCATTAAGATGCACGCCATTGACTTCTGAATCATTAACATATAGTCATTGACAACATAAAGGAACGTTTCATGTATTAGCACATGTAAGACACACTATGTGCCAACAAAAAAAAATCTGTGAACGAAGAGAATAACAACCATTAGCACCAAACCCCTCCCTCCGGAAGTCATCCCTCATAAGGTCAATATACTGGGACAAAGTGATCAAAGAATCGGGAATCACCTGCAGTACTCAAAAATATGCACAGCTTTATACAGCTCACATCACAAGCTCAAATTAAATATTAAAAAATGGAGCTACTTACAGGTGGGTTTTGGGTCCCTAAGGGAGCTGTAGATGAAAATCTAGCATCTGTCTGCCGTCTGTCCCTTTGTGAATTAGTAGGATCGGAATGAGACTGGGTTGAATCTGAAAGGCCACTGTCACTATTTGCTCGTCCAAGCCTTTCCAAAATCATTTCCTGCAATGCAAAATATCAGTTACCTCCTACCAACAAAAGAAATTTCATAGATAGAAATCAATGACTAATGTTGTGATCACTCTGTCTTTGCTTACCCTAATATCACTTCCTCCTGTGTTCCTTGTTACGTTGTTAGTCGATCCAATAGAACCGAACATGCTTGATATAACCTGCACCAAGTTTTCATAATGAAAAAAAGTTAAACAAAGCTGGAAATGATCAAGCTAAACTAGAATATCTAATGCCTAAGTTCATTTCAAGTCTCACCCGGCTAATAACCGAAGCGTCAACATCCCCGTGGTCTACATTAACAGATTCAAACACAAAACTATGAGCCACATGACTGCCGTGATTATATTCACTACCTGAAGCCGAAGTAGTGCCTGCAAAAAACTGTTAGTTAGAATATGATGGTCATTTATGGAAATATGACTCAGAGATCAATATTAAACATCAAGAGTAAAAGATAGAAAAACAATATGGGAGGATGTGGACGTAGGAGGAAGAGGTCAAAATGCATTCAGAAAGCCATTCATGTATTGACAGCTTGAATGGTTAATGTAAGCATAGTCGTAGATGTCAGTCAGAGCTCAAAACAAATTTTGAGGCAGCTGGCAAGTCCATAGTTTAAGCCTTTACTCTCTAATAGAGTAAAAAAGATTGAAGACTAGGCCAATAAGCACCTCACGAGGAAGAACTCCAGGAAAGGTAATTAAAATGTAAATAACAAGTGGAGTTCGCATAATCAGGGATGGAGGGGGGAATTCAAACAATGATCAGAACACAAACGAAATGAACATGTTTCAAACAAAACAACTTGCCTTCTATTCAGAACAGAACTGCATGCATATTCTTGTATAAAGCATCACATCAGTTACCATGAAACTTTTCAAATAGAAAAAACAGATGAAAAAGCCTTTTATTAACACACATAGAAATTAGGATCTTAAAAAACTCAGTAAAACTAAATATATAAATTCAACAATAATATGAACATACCTGAATGACCACCTTCAGATTCCATGCGACTCGATGATGGTGTTGCAGACTGGTGTGGTTGTCTAACAACCAGATGCAATGTGTGACCGTCTTCCACATCTTAATCATTGATGTTAAGAAGCTAGATGTTGACTAAATGAAATAACAGCACAGAGCAGCGGTAATGGTATACTAAACGAAAAAATCAGGATCAAGTAAAATTAAAATAAATAACCAATTCAGTCTTCATACACGAAGCAACTACAAAATATAAAATAAATATAGTCCAAAATTCGGCGACTGGACACTGATTTACCACATTCCAATGTATAAATTATAATATGAACTGATACATTCTATGAATTCTGCTGAAGATTTTATGCCTTCTGATCTTAAGCAAGGATAAAAATTAGTGAGAAACAGATACAAATGTGACTCCTAACATTATTCTCGTTTCTAGACATCCTTTCACAAAGACAACTGTAACAATTGGGGAAACCAGCACGGAATATTTGGAGTTAAGATGGAAAGAAGATCGCACCTGGCCATATCATGGTGAGCAAGGTTATTGATAGTGGATAGCGTCGCATAGCGGTGAGGTGCCGCTATGGCTATTTGCGTCTATAGCGGCAAAATAGCGGCTAATAGCACATAGTCAAATTGCAATCAAATTTAAATATATTTAAATATTTAAAAAAAATAAGAAAAATTGAAAAATCTAAAATTTCTACAGATACATATTTGATTATTAATAGAGATCATATGCATGAAATAGATGTGTAACAATTGTATAACGTTAACAAAGTACTATAAAGAATAAAAAAGCACCGAAGATGGTGGAGGTGGTAGAGGGAGGGAGCACAGGGGATGGGGAGGAAGCTCCGGAGAGAGGGAGAGAACTGGCGGCTAGGTTTCATGCTTAGGATAAAACGAGTTGGGTATGGGTTGGGTAGAACATAAAAGCTATCCACCAAATAAAAGTGGGTTTTAGCAGTTAAAAGTGCTATTCACACTTTTAACCGCTTAAACCCGCTATCGCGCACAATCACGAGCAAATAGCGGTTTTGGCCACTTTGCTACCACTTTTGCTGATAGGATAGCGGTAGCCAGCACTAATAGCTATGAAAACCGCTATAGCAACGCTATGCACCGCTATTTACAACAGTGACGGTGAGAATTATCAACTTTCTACAAACTAGAATCAAGTCTTTCTATAAAATAATAAAACTGGCTTCAGAAGAATGAACTTCATTCCACACTTTGTTTCACTTAGTTGTTTTATCCTCTGCAATTTCTTTTCTGTCTCTATTTTCCTGTTTGAAAACCATTTCACATCCCTGTTCTCTACAAATCTACCTGCTTTGCCAAGTGTGAGGCAAGCAAGGGAAGACATAGTGAGATGGATAGGGATAAGGATGGTGGAGGGAAGGAGGATTGGATGCAGGAATAATTTCTTCAAGTTATAAGTTCAATCACTAGATGTAGCCCAAAATTTATTGACCGACAAGGCAATGTAGATGTGATCAAACAATTCCAAACAATTGAGGGAAAAAATATAACATTGCTCAGTCTTTCAGATTTTGATTCAAGACTAGCAACTAGCAACACAATCCAAAAACAACAGTGTATATAGAAATAAAATGTGCCTTGATAAAAAAAAAGATAGTAACTAAGCAATGTCTTTGTCCAGATTTGGGCTCGGCTATTAAAACTAACAGAGTCAAGAGAAGGGTAGGAGACATAAAGCATACAAAATATAGCATGACAAAATAGCTACTAGGATACCCCGACTCGGCAATTCTAGGGCCACACCCATGTCCGAAACGTGTCAGGTGCGGACACTCCCCAGACATGCCTTCGACACAGGCGTGATTAGTTACACAAAGTGGATCCAGAAAATAACAAACCCAATAACTTAGAATATGGGTTCTTTTGGGTATTCGGTTAAAAGCCTAAACGTTTTTGGACCCGCTATCCAAATAACATACTTAAAAGCTTTTCTAAAAAAACCCACGTGTGCTTCTCTTCTCCATTCTTTCTATTCTCCAAACCCAGGAAAGAAGAAAACGGCAGCCAAAGCTCTGCTTGTCGTGAGATCTACTTGCTCATGACTACTAGATTTCTCTTGTTGCTATTTCCGACTTCAGAGGAACCCATCTCCTCAAAGCAGTAACTACTTTAGTATTTTTAACTTCTAGAGTTTTTATGGTTTTTCTGATTTTGAAATATATTTAACATTGCAATTGAGTTTCTCCCTCTTCTTTGGTGAGCTGGATTTTCTAATCTATTTATGGGTTTTCAATTTGAAATCTAACTGATATATCCTATTTGCTACTTGCCTTGGTTTCTAGTATCTTATTTAATTGTTGTTTCTTTGTTTTAGATTTCTAGTTGCTGGCAACTGTTGTTTTATGCAGTTATTATTATTAACTATGGAACAATCTTTTAATGAGTTATTTCACACACACACACACACACACACACACACACACACACACACATCTTTTACAAATTTGCCAGGTCCCGTGTCCGTACCAGTGTCCGCACCCGTATCTGTGCGACCTAGGTTGTCTCATACAGATAAGATCCGAGACATTCATGATAGGATGTTATAGTGAGTTAGCTTATTTGTCAAATTTTAACATTTACACCAAACTAAAGCATTTCAACCAAGAAAAGAAAATATGCCCCAAAAAAATAAACTACTGTAGCAAAAGATACGGTAAGCAGAGAGTAGCTGATCATCTTTCAGAACTTTGCCACGACAGATTAAACGTTGTTGATGTGACAACACCCCAGTCACACTGGCTATTTGTTCCTTTAATGCTGGGACTGGAACCTGCAAGGAATTTTTTTAAAATAATTAAACTTATAGAGATAATGTTAATTTGAAGTTTCAGAAACAAGTTCAACTCATACAATTAAAAAGACCTCACAGAATAGACAAACAGGAAATATATATGCCTTTACAAAATATATGGTGCATAAAATTATAGATTCATTGGTACTAGTATCCATATGGTGTCATGTCAAACCCTTATCCCAACATGAATCTATAAAACAATCCAACAATGCGATTCAGCTTAGTGAGAAAATTTATTTATGAAGTGTATAACACAAGACACTATACAAACTATTCCAGGTATCTACATTGACCAGTGAGGGGATCTAGTGGAATAAACATTTTTTACATATGAAATGTACAACAGAAGAAATACACTAATCATATCACATGTAAAAAGAAGTAAAATATACGAGTTATAGTTAAGGAATTAATGTTGGGAGATATCACATCTACTTCCAACAGTTTTCTGAAGAAAAACTAAAGCAAGCAACTCAACAGGTAAACAGAAATTGGCTAGGCACATTCCAAGGACAAGTAGTTGAGAAGTATATAAATCGAAAATGGAAGACCATTGATTTATTACTTTGGATATGCAATATGCCAACATAAGAGAAAGAAAGCTGCTTACACATTTATCCACCCGTAAAGTGTATGTCTGAGAATCCAAAGTTTTAATTTTTATCTCAACTGTAGTCTCCGAATCTTCAGTAACACCGCTCCCAGATGCTACTTTCACCGCTTCGTTGGAAGCCATCCTTGCCTCCTATTCTATGAAAACATAGCAAAAAATAAAGACATCAATAACCGGAAACAAAAAGAAGCTACCTTACCACTTCCATATTGGAATCAACAATGTCGTGATTCACTGTAACGCAGCAATATACCCATTTTGATAATTTTCGAAAGAAACAAATGTCGGGCTCTTTGAGCAACCTCTTCAATGTAAGAATAAAGAACAAGGAAAGCTCTCAGTGACTAAATTATGGTAACTCCAACTCAAAAGGTGATCAACCAAACCTTCAAACAACTAGAAGCAAATTACAAACAAAAAAAGTCAAGTTGTTAGATCCTTTCAACATGGAACTTCAACTTAATTTTAGCCCGTCAGCTACCCCTATGGAAAAAGAGAGAAAATTATAAAAATTGCAAACTCGTGCTATCTATCTAGAACTAGAGCATCATAGCGCAAACAAACTGATTGTCACGCACAAAACCTAAGAACACCGAGAACTGCATATAAACCCCGCAAAATTCCCCAGACCAGCATATAAACCCCAAACAAAGATCCCATGCTTTCTGCATCAAAGGCCGTATCTTTGACCTAAAAATCGCATCTTTAGACATCAAAAAGCACGCCAAACTCCAAAAAAAAAAAAAAATTCAATTTCGACGGAGAAAACCCAAGAATGAAGCCGATTTCTCTAAACGCAACAAGAACAGATCTCTTGATTGACAAGTTAGGGTTTTCTCGTTACCTTGAGAGAGAGAGAGAGAGAGAGAGAGATACGGCGGCGATGTTGGTGAAGAGATCGAGCGAGAAAGCCCTCTCACCTCCCTCTCCCTCTCTCTAGAGTTTGAGAGGGATCGGCGTCACGTGACTTTTGAGAGGGTACGATCGATTATTGCACTGATATATATATATATATATATATATATATATACGTAAACGCAGGGGGAGCCACCCAAATTTTCCCTTTTTTTGTTTTTTTGTTTTTTGTTTTTTTCCTCCGTGGGTTTTAAAGATTTTGTTAGGGAGATAAAAACGATGATTAAGGAGCCTGTTTGTATTATTAGGGTGAAAAATTCCCAAGGTTGTATAATGAAAGTTCAGTGGAGCACAGTTTATATCATTAATGATGACCAACTCATTATGCAATAGGAGGAGGACATTTCACATGTGCTCCCTGTTGGTTCTATATTTTAGGTCCCTATAGCAAAGCTCCTTATAATTATATATGATAGTAACCCAGGAGATGAAAGTTTTAAGCATTAGTAGAGAAAATAGACATATTAATATTACTGTAGTATTTTTTTTCAAGTGTTTTCCCTGTCCTTGTACCCAGATATATCTGTATCAATATTCGTTAGATACAAATATGATCACTAAGCATGCGATATGTAGAGAAATATCTAGATCAATATTTGAAATATATGAATATAAGTTGACCATAAAATGTTACAATTGCTGTAATCCCAGATTAATAAAGTTTTCGAGGTTAATTTTGATGAGTATGGGACCTACTCTTGGCATTTTAGGTACGATGCGCATGTTAGATGTTACTATATCTTTTTTATCTAGTTTTCTCATATTTGTTTTATATCCTCGTGTATATCTGCATACTTATCCGGATCCACGTTCAATTTTAGTAGATATGAATATGAGTTTTTCTTATCGAGATGACTCTATCCATCCACATTTGCAACCCTTAGTGAAACTCTTTACTAACAAGATTTTCCTTCCGTAGAAATGTTGTTTCGGAACTATTTAATTGCTTTTCTAATAGATTGAGAATTAACAGTGTATACAGTATTCGGGATAGAAAAATGATTAGATACATAATTGGCAACTACTAATATAAATACATCTCACTTCGTCAATTGTAAATTCCAGCGATCATATCAAACTTTACTTTGTAACGCTAGGACTAGCACTTAATCTAATATCTTTTTACCTACTTCAATGAATCAATGGAGAACAGGAGTAAAGACATAGCATTCGTAATTTGACCGAGTTCGATAAAAAATTGGTCACGTTTATGCCATATGTAATATAATAGGAGACTAACAAAATAGGCTTACAACATTTTCACTGTGTCATGCTACCTTAATTATCATATTCCTAATCCCAAGAAAAAAATACAAGTATCAGATAACAAAGCCCAGCTGCTCAACGCCTCTTCATGACAAAAGTTGTCATATATGAGAGTTTTGACAAAAATTAGTCTTAGATAAGAAATAAGTAGCCAGTCTGCTCTAATTCACAAAAACTTAGCTAGGGGACTAAAATACACAAATTGATATGATTTAGGTACAATTTGTTACGTGAAATTTCCCACAGGCAAAAATCAGGTATCGGGCGATAATTATCACAATTCCGATAATTATCACAATTCACGTGCTTCAATTCACGTGTTTTTAATGGTAGGCTTCAGTTTCGCTCTTGAAAAGTCCGAGTAGATCCTCCATGGACATCACTGTGAGTTTGTCATTGTCTCTCACCCGAACACTCACCTACACACATACAGGGAAAAAGATCAGAGAAGAAGAGCATGCAACTCAAATTCAAGAGATATCTACTATAGAACGCCGAAACTGGTTTTAAACTCGAGCAAATTTGGGTCCTTGAATACATTTCATCACTGTTGAAAGACACATGAGCTTTTTTTTTTAGGGGCACTCTGATATTCAGTAGCCTGGTTATTGGACAGATGCAACAACATGCACTCTTAAGTAAATAAAATCTTTTCCTACAAAATAACATGAAAAAAAATTGAGAAAAGAAGATTACTTTGCTTACATTACTAAAATAGTCCATCTACTAATATCGTACTTACCTAGCATCTTAATTCTTAAAATGAAGAGAAAATATGTGTGTGTGTGTGGGTGGTGGTGGGGGGGGGGGGGAAAAAAATCTCAAAGTTTAGGGATTATCTCAAAGTTTAGGGGGGAAACCTGTCCACTTGTTGCTTCCTTTTCACCAACAACTAATATATAATTGTATTGAGCCATCTGATAATCTCGCACCTGCAAATATATAAAAACTATTGAGGACATTTTGTGTCTGACAAAGAGGTAGCCCTTTCGAACTTTAAGCAGATAAATCTACAGTTTATAAACGAAAAACGTGTATGTCATCCTACCAACATCCATCTAAACATGCAAAAACCAGTGCATCTATATAGCATAAGAGTCTTTTTAGTTCGAAGAGAATGAAAACTGCAATTTCACTCGTCAAAGCGTCGCCAAGCTTTTAGGAAATTCATTTTGTGTATCTACCCAAATACCTTCAAGGCAAAACGATCAACAGTCTACAATACTACAGCACAATTAAGAACTTAGTAAAACACATTTTAAGTAAATCAATAATATGTACTGCAATTCCACAAGAAAAGAAAGCTCCATCCAACAGAAGCCCCTAAGAAGTCGAAGCCAAGGTAGAGTTTAAAATATTTATCCATTCAAGAAATAGCATGATGGATTGGTGTGAGACCACAGTTATGAAAGAGGGATGAAATAATATTACCTTTTTCTCTATTGTTTTGCCTGTTACATCGACATCCACAAAGTACCCGGCCTGATGTATTTGATCACGTACCTAATAGCGGCATAAGAAAGAAGTACAGTAAGCAATGCAGGTAAATGTTTGCATAGTTCTGTAGATTGACAAATAATGTGCAAGAACAGAACAAATCTAGTCATGTAACAGAAATTTTCTTACTCAAGAGTCAAATATTGAGGTGCTTAATTGTTATGTTTGTTTGCTACACGTCGATATGCCATGATCATACACTTAAAGCTTTTGGGTGAATTGGATTATTTGATTTTGTACCAGTATAACTATTTTCAAGGGCACAAGGGTTAACAGCTCAGTTTGGCACTATGAAATATATTCTTTTATGCTTGTTTATCATTCACAACTTTACTGCTGGGCACAAAGACCCACTATGAAATATATTCTTTTATATTTGCCTAACACTTACAAGCGCAACTGTCTCACCCAATGTTTAGAAAAGCAGAAGTGCAAGGCAAAGCGTTTGACCCTTTTATGAAGCAAGGCGTAAGCTTCAGAACGTGAGAGGTAAGTCTCATGAGTTAAGTATATTTTAAGTTTAAAATTTATAAATATTATTGGAAAATATAATATACAGTGGTATAATAATTTACAAATATATATATATATATATATCCAGACTACTAAATCAGATTTAAATATGTGACAAACACACGCGCGGACACGCACATACCAGATTTAAATATGTGAAATATAGACGTGCGTGTGCACACACGTACACACACGGGCACACCAGATTTAAATATGTTAAATAGAGACATGAGTGCGTGCACAGATATACCTTATTGACAGCCAAATGGTCATATGGAAGATACACTTGAGCATCTTATTTTAGTTAAAATATTTATATACAGGAGAAGTGTTCTATGGAACATGAAGCACACGCTTAATTTATGCCTTGAACAATGAGGCGTATGCTTCCAGGGAAAATTAGCTTCTCTGTTGAGTTCCAAAGCGATTATCCTTTGAAAAGTTGTGAAGCGAGTTTCGAGGCGAGTTTCAGAAGAGCTTTTTCAAACATAGACTTCACCAAATATGGTTTATACGACATGACCAATAGGAAACCATATATCTCAAATACTTCGAAGAAACATGTTTCAAGAAGAGGAAAATTTAAACAAAAACCCCAACATAAAAAGAATAAATCTCAGTTCAACATTTTTTGCTTTAGCATAAATAATTAAAATACTTGTGAACAGTGACTATTGCTGATAAATAGGATGACCTGTTATGAGATTCTTTCATGCTAATTATTAATAAACAAGAAAAAACTTCCTCAAGCAACCGCTAACATCAATAGTATATATCAAGTATATGTTTGTTACCTGTAATGCATAATCATTATTCTTCTTAGAAACTGGAAAAACAATGGCTTGTCGAGGGCTCAGCCAGAATGGCCACTTCCCTTTATAGTGCTCCAGAAGAATTGCAAGCATGCGCTCAACAGATCCTAAGATAGCTCTATGAATCATAACAGGGCGCCCAGTTTTTCCTTGATCATCTGCTGCATAAGATAACTGAAAACGATCCGGAAGCTGAAAGTCCAACTGTTACCAAACAATAATATGTCAGAAAATAATTCCTAATAAAAAGATAGTACTCTTAAATTGTAGATACTCTATTATGATGTAAGACCTGTAAGGTTGCACATTGAAATTTTCTCTTCAAAGCATCAAAAACACCAATATCAATCTTTGGTCCATAAAATGCACCATCCCCCTCATTTATCTGTGTGAAATAATTAGCAAGTGAGAATCCCTCGATGTAAGATGTATACTGAGGAATCTATCCATATCCACACAATATAATGTCAATTAACTGATTCTGTAATTACACAATCACATAGAGTTCATAACCAGTATCCATAGTAAGTCAAGGAACAAAAAGGAAAAGATTTCAGTGTAAATAAACGAATTGATACTAGAGTATAAAGAAATCCTGCAGGAATACCTGCCATGGTTTTCCGAATTCATTTAGAGCCTCCTTTAGAGCATCTTCAGCTTTGTCCCATGTTTCTATATCTCCCAAATATTTCTCTGGCCGCTACATGCCAATAAGAGAATTTAATCAAAATGATTCCAAATATGAAATTCTATCTCTAATCTTTAGTTCTAGCAGGATATATTTCAATTTCTTATGCAGGCATTACCCAAAGATAAAGACATTTGGAAGAAACAGGAATGATCTGGAAACTTCTATTCTAGAGCTAATTAAGTTTACTGCAGACAAAGCAGAAATCAACTGCCCCACTTGGGTCCAGACATTTACAAATAACGACCAGGTATAAGCCTTATCACAGCATAAAAGAATTCAAATTCAACCTAGATTATTCCAATCAAAATAGTTCAAATATAAGCACAATAATTGGTCAAAATGGCAAAGCAAACATTATTGCGAGTATACTTCATATAAATCCTCCATTTTAGCGCATAAGATTGCAAATCAAAAGACAATGAATATACGAAAGATGTACCGTTGACAACTCCAGGTCAAATGTGAAGCCAAATATCTTGTAGGCATAGCTAATGAAATCCAAGACACTTTTGACCTCATCTTTAATCTGCAATGAGGAAAAGTTGCGAAAGATGTCTTAGAATCTCTCAGCAGTGCCCACAAGAAGAGCAAACAATATCAAAAAATTATCTATTCAACACTTCAACATCTGACCAACTCGGAGTAAATACAAGAAGCATGAAATTTAACTATGATAAAATAATAGATCACTAGTAACCTACTACTACATGATAACAATGCTAATGAAGTATCAAATTTTAGAAGAAGGAACATGTTATAAAAGACAATGAGAAGCAACTAATAAAGATTAAAGCAGATGAAGACAGAAAATATGCTCTTTGGTCTAACTATAAACAGTATGTTTTGTTCATATTTATAATTTTATATCCCAAAGAAATTATGGTGGTTTAGTAACTATAAGGATCAAGCAATAACACATTGGCCAAATCATAGGGAAGTTCATCACGAATATTATGTACGGAGCAGAAGTCAAAATAACAAACTCAAAGCTATCAAATTTCTTCTTGATCTTGACTCTCTATAGTCTATATTATCATGAGTTTAGTTCTTTTCTTCCCAATTCCCATTAGTGCAAATTGTGTCAACATTGTTACAGCTGAGTTTCAATAACCTAGTCAATGTAGTGTAATCAAATGACATTAATACTGATTCTGTGACATGTTTTATTTTCCATAAAAGGTCGGATCATCTGAAATACCTCAGCAACTATGAAGGTAAAAAGAAAGAAATCACCTAGATACGTAAAAGGTAGCTAAAACTACTTTACTTGGTTCGAGAGCATGAAAATATTAATATTCTTTAAGCCTCTAACACCTCTCCCCTCCTTGCCCTCTTCCTCCCTCTTCTTTTCCATTGTTGGTTGCCTGTGCTGTGGCTTCCACTGCTGTTACCTGCTATCTTCTTTCTCCTCTCCTACTGCTGCATGCAGCTTCTTCCTGTATTCCTTCTTAGTTATTAGATAATCAGTTACTTCCTAAGTTGCATGGAAACGGGTGCGGGTACTGGTATGGGTGCGGGTAAGGGACACGGCAAAACTGTAAAATGTAGGGTACGGGGACACAGCTACATATACATATTGAATTAATAATGTACATGAGATAATTTTTTCCTGCTTCATGTGTCATTAGAATTAAAATTCCGATCACATTTTTTAGTTTCTTTTATCATATTGATTATCGTGAATTGTAAATTACTCATTTTCTGACTAGACATCTAAACGACCCATTAACTATATAGTTTTGAACTTGGGTATGGACTGAAACGAACCTGACCCATATCTCATTAGTTTCAAAAGACGGATGTGAAGTGTAAGCTCTACGTCCAGGAAGTCTTTGACAAGTGTTTTAAATTAACGCATATATCGTATAATTGAGTACATGTTGTAATAAATGCATGCATATGTTCAAGAAGTGTCCATGAAGTTTGGGTACGGGAAATTGTCGGGTACGTGTCCGGTACGGGTACGGTTTCAATATAGAAGTACCCGGGTAACATAGGTTACTTCAGATCTTCATTACATCTTTTTACAACTTTCCTTAAATCCCCTGCATTTTTTATTTCTTTTGGGTATTTTCCACGTTTACTAATTTTTAAATGAAAATGGAATGCTTGGCCCTTAACTGCTGGTGGTTAAAGAGTGCAGGCATTAGACATCAGGTCTGCTATCAAGGCTCCCCCGGGTTTTCATAGGATCTGCTGTACAACTGCTGATACTTGTTAATTTCATGCACTAGCTTTGTACAACTAAAAATTTCTGAATTTGTAAGAAATTATACCTCACTTGATTACAGAAGGAAGAACCAATCTTTTAGATGCTAACCATTTTCAATCAAGATACTCAAACAGTCTCTATAATTCGATCAGAATTCTATTAGAAAGTGCTCTCCATGGTCACGATAATTTACAGAAGCAGCTGCAATAATTGTCAGAAGAAAGCAACTGCAATCCAGTAGTAGAACAGTGCCTGATAATTGATTTACTGGGAAAGAGCAACCATAAACACTTTACTCTCTATGCAAATTAATTTCAACTCATACTTCCGTGAAATTTGGAAGTTTGAGTTCCCAAGATATTAGATAATACACATCAATAGCTTCTTTAAATATCTACAAGACTTATATAAGATGAGATATAGCATCCGATTCCATTTTAAACAATTAAAATATAACCTGGCTCTCCATGCAAAATATATGTGCATCATCCTGCAAAAACATGAAAACATTAGTTAAGTACGTAGGGAAGAAACTAAAGATTAGTAAAGTGAGAATATAAAGACATGCATCACACACTATATGGAGATCATTGGCATTGAAAAAAGATACATAAATAGGAAAAGGATAAATAAATAACACAAAAAAGACAACCAACAAAGGTAAATGATCATCCTCTTGGTATGAGATGATAATTACCTGCTGAAATCTTCTAACACGTGTCAAACCAGAGAGAGCACCACTAAGCTCATTCCTATGCAGAACTCCAAAATCTGCCAAGCGAAGTGGCAACTCTGCAAAATTATCTCCATATGGTCAGAAATGAAAAATCCATCAACTAGGAAGGAATTGGTTAAATATTTTTTTTATAACTACGAAACGAAAAATGAATCAGTAATATCTTACATCATACACATCATAAGAAATGGTACCATTTAACTGGGCATATCAAATTCATAAAATACAAGGAAGCAAAACTAGTTGGATCCACACACTCATGCTGTTCTGAATGCAATTGAAGTATACTGTATTTTTACAGCAAATGGATACAAAATAAATTAATCTGACCTCTATAAGACCGTACTCTGTGCTCAAACATCAGGCAGTGCCCAGGGCAATTCATCGGCTTCAGTCCAAACTCCTGTTTTTCTATCTGCATTGGAAGAAACACACCTTCTACTTAAAACAAAGTAATGCAGGCAACACAGAAGAGGCAACTACTAAAGGCTTTCCCTATGGGCAAATAAGAATATGCAGGCAGGATGTACAAAAATTCCCTTCCGAAAAAACGAGCATGACAATACCTACCTCGAAAACAAACATGTTTTCTTTGTAATTAGCAGCATGCCCTGACGTCTCCCATAATTGCATGTTATAGATATTTGGTGTTAGGACCTGAAAAGGTAAAAGACAAACAACGAGAAATTTAAGACGTCCAAGTTACCAAGTAAATCCTTAGAGATTTATATTAACCTCTTGGTAGCCTCTTTCTCTGTATTGTGCTCGAAGGAAATCCATTAACTTGTTGTAGACTCTAGTTCCATATGGTAGAAAGAAACAACTTCCAGGACTGCATGCTTAATCAAAACAAGTCACATGCCACCCCTTCAGATCGCAAGTAGTGAATTGCAGAAGGCAATAATTACCCCTTATTACCTGAGAGGATGAAAAAAGAAAAGTTCTTGATTCTGGCCCAGAATTCTGTGGTCATATTTCTTTGCTTCCTCCAACATGGTCAGGTATTCCTGCAACATAAATGTCAAACATATGTTTACAAAATCAGATCTTTTAATACATTCCTGAAAGTTGCAATGGAAGAAAGAGAAACTAGCATGGAATATATGGCATCTTAAAAGAAACAGATCCCCAAGCTGTGAGAAATAATAAACCAAAAAAATTAGCCCAATAAAACGGGAATTTCTCACAAAACATAATGTAAAAATCTTTCATCTATCTTAAACAATAACAAAAAGAAAAGAGGATGAATGGAATTCTAAGTAATAGTATGGATGCTGGCACAATTTGCTCTAATACCAATTGTTGAGAATCGGAGGTCATCACAGAAGAAACTCTCAATTAAAACCAATACATGATGTAAGGTTTCCAAATCCAAACATAAGAATATGAATATGCCTTGTACCTTCAGACGTTTAGCATCTGGATAAGAAATTCCATAAACTCTCTGAAGGCTCTCCCGGTCAGATTTCCCCCTCCAATAGGATGATGACGCCTGAATAACAAGTTATTAGCTTCACGAACAAAAATACTTCTATCATGATTCCCTTTTTACAGGAAGAATATAGGTTACCTTCAAACAAGCAAATGCTTTCACAAAAGATGTATTCGGGATGTGTGGACCACGGCAAAGGTCAACTAAAGGGCCACATCTGTAAACAGTGATTGTCTTGTCTTCAGGTAACTCGTTAATGATTTCGACCTGTATGTAGTCAAATTTCATGACAATATGTTTACTTCGAAAAACGGTGTTTATACAACTGTGCCAAACGTTTCTTGGAAAAATAAAACAGTAAGTACTTCAAATGTATTGAAAAGTTGGCATCCAATAACATTCAACAATTTTGAACAAATTGGCCTTTTGTAAATGAGAAAAAGGAATACATAGCCTGATTGGATTTTGGCATGTGATAAGAAATAACAAGAAAGAATGAAAAACCAGATACCTATATTGTAAAGAAATTGTTAAAGACAAATGATAGAAAAACTTACCTTAAATTTATTTTCTGCAAAGATTTCAAGAGCTTGTGCTCTAGATACCTCAATTCGCTCAAACGGCTGTTTTTCCTGTAGCAAAAGTAAAGAATACATAATATCAATCTAACACGAATACATAATATCAATCTAACACAAAGTTGATACTTGACATAGGTACCTAAGAATGCGCTCCATTTATTAAGAATACTTTTTTCAGACAAATACTTTTTCAGACACAAAGTTACAAGGTCCATGAATGCTGGTAAGGGACTCATTACAGGTGGGAAGCCCATTGTTATGGACTTCTATTACCTATTAGGTCAGTGTCTGGGTGGGGTGTGAGGGGTGGAGGGGACATATACCAACTACTACTTAGGTCCAATACCCTACAAACCCTACAATTAACTGATGAAATTTCTTCATGTATTAAGGAACCTAAATAATATAAATGGATTATACTTCAAAGCTTAAGGTATGATAAATAAACTGTTTTGAGGAAATGAACAGTGCTCCCTTGATGTCAATTAACATTGGAATAGAATTCTGAAACTACCAGTGTTCAACATTGTAGAATGCATTGATGAGGAATTGAAACACACAGCAATATATATTGCTGGGCCAAAATGGCCAAAACAAAAAAAAAGAACTTGGCAATCCTTTTGTTCTCATACACTATATTGCCTTTAGCGTCATTCTGAATATTTTATCAAGATTTGTAATAAAACTTGCAACACATGCCGCATCTAGTCCGTGTACCTTAAAATGTGTTTCCCAACTTATGAAATCATATCAAATTTAATGATTTCAACCATAGCATATGCTCGAATATGCAATGTCTAAAAGGTAATACACAGTTATTTCCAGGAAATTAGCTACATGGGTTAACTTGTTTAAGCATGTGCTTTTTATGTTTCAGGAAAAAAGAATGAAAAGATAAAAAAATTATTACAACCTGATAATACTGACTGTGATTTGAAAAAGATATGGTTTATGACAATACTTGAAAGTGCCTCATTACCTAAACAACTAGAACATTAACATAATATCAATCTGTGCCCTGCAAATATTGCGAATTGACTCAACCCCAATAGAGAAACAGAATAAAGGTTCTCTGGCAAAATAGTCATTCTAAATCACATCACATAATACGTAATCAAGTTCAATATCTCAAAAAACAAACAGCCTAGACAAACCAAGTATGTGAAAAATAAAAGAAAAGAAAAGAAATTTGGATGTAGGTATTACCGCAACAGCTTTATTCGCCTGAGACTTAATCTGGCTGAAATGCTCCTCATTTAGTGTCAGGTCCTCATAGTAAGCATCATAATAAAAGCCCTGTGAGAGGTATTAGGTTATATCACATGATCACAACCAATTGCCAATTGCATCTAGTATATAAATTATAAATTTATAATGAAACAAAAGCTTGGGCAGATACAAAGTAGTTTAACAGCTTGAAATATAAACCTATAAAAATAAAGGCGCTAGACAATACAGTCAAGGATTTTGTTTCTAAATGAAATTGCCAATAGAAAGCATAGTCGATCATTTCTGACGCAAGGAACAACAACTGCCTACAGTGGTACATTCTGACCTTTGTGGATTGAATAAAAACTCCCCATACTCTCATCAGGTCCAGCCAATTTCGGATAAAAGAATCAGCAACTTTTAAAGCTACAGGTGATTCGTGTTGCATATCAGATGATACCACCCAATACTGGATGAAACTCTACAACTTTCTTCATGTTATTTAGAGAATAGACTGAAGTTGACGTTTGGAGTTATCAACATAAACAAAACATAATCAGGCAATAACCATCAGCATTGTAGGAAATAAAATGTGTAAAGTGTAAGCATAATCATATTTACCTCCCCTCTTGTTGTGCACGGCCCGATACACAGCTTGCATCCATACTCCCTCTCCAGGGCCTGTCATATATAATGGAGATACAAATCAAAATATAGCACCAGCAAAAACTATGTGGATTGGGTTTTTACTAAGCACTCATTGTAAATGTAAATTATAACATATAATTTTTACAATTGAGTCCGCAGAAGACTACAGACATAAAAATCATGCATGCTATTGAGGAATATCACTCTTTGTCGAAACTAATCATGAGACACAGAATACGTAGCAATATGCACCTCCCCAAGGATGTGGGCACTAGAATGCCAAAAGGTATCACGCCCTTCGTCACTATCAAACTTGAAGAGCTTCAGTGTACAATCTTCTTCCAGCGGCCTCGCCATGTCCCAAAGAACTCCATTGACCTTCACCCCAAGAAAATAAGACAATCAACATCAATAAAGCAAACTTAAACAACAAAAATCAACAAAATCCCTACTTCTGCAATCAAACAATTTGAGGCCAATCCAAGGGAGATCTCCTTGGCCACATCTAGTGGCGAAGTCAACCATCTCTTCCCCTCCTTAACCGCTCCATCCGGCAGCGTAATCCTTTGAACAAGACACGAAGTTAAATTACATTAATCAAAAGGGGTCTTGAGCTATTGGTCCTCCACATCTCATGCGATGTTATAAACCACAAGCCCCTAGAACCCATTAGTTATCCAAGATTAGTCCCTCTACTTTAAACATTTCAAGCAACTACAGCAAAGTTTTAAATTTTCCCAGATATCTTCAACCCCCTAACTTCTGAATCCATTAAATTTGCACCGAAAGCATAAGAACTAACTGCCATTAGTTTTATCTATGGGAACTGATTTGGTGTGACTAATGGGTTTTGGGAATTGAACTTAATGATAGTGTTAACTGTGTCATTTTTTACCCCTCAATTCCATATCCCTCTAAGTGCAATTAACCCTTAATAGCGTCGAGTTTTAGTCAATTATTCCAAAACAAAAAGTACTGGATCAGGATTAGGGTTTTACTTAATGAGTTCGCCGCCAATACTCTCGCGATGCGCAATCTGCTGAGCCTGAATCGATTCAAAGAGCTTGACTCGCTTCTCAGTGACGGCATTCAAGTAGGCCTCGTCCTTGGCGACGACGGGCTTAGGCTTGCCCTCGGATTTGGACTTGGAGGACGAGGGTTTGTTGGGGCCTCCCATGGCGGCGACGGGGGACGAGAGGAGAGAGAAAGGGGAGATGAGGAGAGAGAATGGGGAGATCAGCGATCGCCGCAGATGTTGGTGGTGGTC